ACAATATATATATATATATATATATATATATATATATATATATACATGTAGTTTCTACTATTTAAAAATATATTATGTAAGTATATATTGTATAAATATGTAAAGGATTAAATTGATCAATTTACTTTCTCCTTTTCAGATTTTTATATAAATATATATTTTTGAATATTAATTTAATCTTTTACATATTGCAACAGAAATTACGAGAACTCTTAGAAATTCATCGTAAATTTGATTTAAAAAAATACAAAACAGTCATATTGATTGTTTTGAGTTCTAATATTAATTATCTTTTCTGAAAGTGAAGAAGGATTCAGTGTGTGTTATAGATGCCTATCAATATTCATTTCTTTTCTTAGATACATGTCACTTTCAAAAGCTGGCGGAAGAGAACACTGCGTCAACCGAATTCGATTTTAATTGGAATTCGATGCCGACAGTCGTAGGTGAGACAATTAAAAAATTTTCAACAAAAATTATATCATATAATATAATGACAGTAACGCTACTCTTTCATTACCGTTTATAACAGCCTGTGCCTTTCCATACGTGATCGCCTTCACTAACGACACGATGGAGATTCGATTGATAATAAACGGCAACCTGGTTCACACGATCGCCATGCCCAGCCTCAACTTAATCACCTCGAAACGGGACATCTTCTTCGCAACCACAGCGCCGGAATTTTTCCCAGGAAAATGTGAGCGAATCCGATTGGACTCAAAACCTCTCGAGAAGGAGGAAATGCCTTGCAGTCCACCACTGACCGCACAGTCTTCGTCCTCCTCTCGATCGAGTGTTCAGAGTACGTGTTCTTTAATGCCTTGACCTCCGTTAAACCTCAAAATCCTCATCGATCCAATCGCTATCTCTGAACGCTTGACAAACGTATTGAGGTCATCCCCAAATCTTGGGAAATCTTCCTTTCACAGACAGTCAAGGTGATTGGAAGCCGATAAGGATCTATCGGATACCACTGCAGACGCTGTCGAGAAGCACGGCGTCCAACTGTAACCAGAGGAGATGTCCGAGTCCCACGGAGCCGGAAATCGTTTCCGCACCACCGACCTCCGACAGAACCTTTCTGAGCGTCGAACCTCAACGTGTACACAGCAGGTCCTGCAGCAGCAGTCCTACACCCACACCGATCACGAATTTGCCATCGCCATGTAAAAAATAGACACCGTAGTTTCTTGACGCTTGGCAATCGATTGCATTAATTGTGATCTTAACAGATCGATTACATGAAAAAAAAAAAGAAACCGATCGCACGTACCTGATTTCTCGTCCTCGTACGAGAGAATACATGGAAATTTTTGTCATTGTTATGCTATTAGCGTCTGTCGTGCTGCTGTATATCTTGAATGTAAGTGCGTCCGCGCATACAAGTTTATTGTTTGGATAGATTTTGACGAGGACATATTAGTGTCTTAATTACAGAGAAGTCTGTGACATAATTATTATTTTTCCTCGCTTCTTATATCTTTATTTAGATATTCCGCTATTGTTATTTTACTAACGCTTTGTTGTAGTACGCTTTGTTGTGACGTTCTATTTGTTCTAAGTTTATGTAATACATAAAAAAAAAACGTTTAAACTCAAAATTTTTTTAAGACAATTGCGAATATTTCGATAATAAATTCGAGTTCTATAGTGATCCTCTTATCTCATTATATTCTTCTTTTAATTTTTTTCTATATAATATGATACAAAACAAATTTCCGAATTCGCGGAAATATCTCGTAAGATATTGATTCTTTGTATTAAGTTAAATTTCATTTCGCATTGTCCGTAATTAAAAACTTAACGGCGTCGTGGTGTGATAACGACGAATTTCAAATATTATACTATTTACTTCTGAATTTTTTCTAAGTGACATTGTATATCGTAGTTTCTTATTATTTTAAAACCAATTTTAAATAATAAGATTCAGGTTCTTGACCGTAATGGTCGATGGCCAAAAATATTTCTCGACTTGGAAATTGAACATGCACTTAATATGTAAAAAGAGGGCATTTTTCGGATGTGCGTTAGCTCGATGAAATCACGCGTTTCTTTGAAAATAAAGAAAAGGCACGCGAAGAATATTATCGGAGATGATTGTGAACGGTTGATCGATCCCCGATGATTAAGACCGTCAAATTACGCCGCACATCTGGACTTATTTTTATTTAATAAGAGATATAACATATTATTCCGACATGAGTGTCGATGTTTACGCATCATGTGTATATAATATAAAGTAACGAATAAAGTATATATGTTACCGTTGCATTTCCACCGAAAAAAAATGATAAGCAGTATTTTTTCAATACTTCTCGCGCCTTCTCTATCCATCTTCGAACATTATTTAATCTAGAATTTTAAGATTGTATTTATTCATTGTTCGACAAATTAATTTGATTGTTTTACGTATATTGTATAAATATATGTCTATACCATCTGTTGTGTCAATTGGGTGAATCATTGCTTCTTAAAATAAATTTTAACAGAATTACACTTGTTAAATTGAATGTTTTGTTCCATCTAGATTCGATAACGATAATATAAATGATTTATTTTGAATGATATATATATCGCATTTTATTATATTAGGTGTTGGAATTAATTCGTAGCGTTTTTTAATGAAAGAATGTTATTTATTTCACATGAGCATTAAAAAATACATTAATGAAAGTACTTCCCATCACTTGTAAAACGCTACGAATTAATTCCAACACCTAATATATACTGTATCAAAGTCCACGATAACATAAATTTTTCGAAAAATTAAAGAACTCTGTACTAATTTACTAGAAAATTGAATCCTGGTGAGTTAGTTTTTCATATAATATTTCATTTTATATTTCATATAGTTTTTCATTTTATATAATAAATTTATAATGCGATGAATAAAAAGTGTTCTCTAAACACTTATAAGGATCAATAATGGAGTTGTTGAGCTGTGATGTCTTGTGAAAGGAGCACTAATTGTATACCTTTAATATACTATAGCTTAAAAGTAATCCATTGAGTCTTGTGTCTATTTTTGTTCATCATAGCACATAAGCTACATAATGGATGTTTCGGGACATATAAACGTTCTATTCTTTTTTGCATTTAATGAATAACAAAGGAAAGAGGACACTTTTGTCTCCTAAAAGGAAAATACACAGCTTATATATGAAAATTAACTCATTTCACCGGGATCCAATTTTCCATACAATTAGTGCGAAGTCCTTTGTGAGAGAAACACAAAAATTATATCTTTTTCTCTTGGGATCGTCGCGATATACTGCATCTAATTTTTATATTTTCTAATTAAGTACGAGAAATGCTATTTTCAAAGTTGGATCTTAGAGTTTAAATATTTATGCGAATTTATATGCACATTTAATTTTGCAAAACCGAAATTTTTTTCAGCTTTAAAATGCAAACATAAACAGAATTAGAGTATTACAATATCAAATTGATAAGAATTTCATTCAATTTTCGGAAAAAATAAGGAGAAAATCAAGAAATTAAGGGATTGCATCACGAGGATCATCCACTCTAAACTTTTCTGTTCATCGATAAATTCGACGCGGGATCGATTCATGCAAGTCGAAAAGCTGATCGTGGCTTGAAGAAGCATGTCGCTTGGCGACCCCGGTCAAACTCGAGCATTGAACCGTGACGCGATTTTCGTTTGTTTGATATGCGTTTTCTGTTGCAAGTTCACTGGCGTTCGAATTATGGCTATATCGAACCTACATTTGAAGACCGGATGTCTTTGAGCTTTGAACAAAGAATAATAATACTGACGGCCGAATATCACGCTCCATCGCAATTTATAGAGCTGTTCTTTTTAGCTAAACCTCTTGCATAGTTCTTACCTTTTCTCTTTTTTCTCCAATGTTATATGAAAAAGAGAAAAGATGAACCGTACAAGAAGTTCAACTAAAACGAACAAGCCTAATAATTCATACTATGGTACATATTATGAAATTATTCAGAATTTGGAATAATTCCGATCGGAATTGTTTAATTATTCCCTATATTTCTATCGTGTTTTCTAGGAGAAACAAAATAATTCCGACCGGAATCCATTCCGAACAATTCAATAATACATGCTCATGAGTACAAAATTCATAATTGTGGGTCAAATTTACTTTCTAAGTAAACATTTACTTTTTTTATTGAAATTAATATGTACATATTTATTCAATAAAAAATGATAGTTAAATCACACAAATTAATGATTATTGTATCAAACAAATACATTTAGTAAATATTTACTTAAGCCTGTCAAACAAATATTTATTAAAATTTATTTTATATATATAATTTTTCTTCAGTGCACAAATAGAAATGTTGGACGATACTGATCCGTATCATCAACTTTGTAGCGCATCGCTCTTTTCGGCGAGAAATTCTCTCGAAAATGAAACGCGGAATGCTCTAAAAGTCCGCTGTTTTTTTCAACTCCAGAATTTCCGAGAATCAAACAATTGAAGAATCTCGCGATACAATGCTTCCCTTTTACGGTAAAGGCGAACCGCGAGCTCCCCACGTTTTGACATGAAACGGTTTTATAGTTCGTAACAATTCGTTATAACAATTTTCAACGGAATCGCACGTTATCGTTTATCATATAGCTACGCGATTCGATACGGCGGCGGAATTTATCGCGAACGTGCGACGCGGTGCGTTATCGCGAAAACTTTCCATTTTTTACGCGTGGCTGCTGTTACGCAGAACGTATGATACATACGTAACCGGTAACATTCCAGCGAAGGGGTCCCATTCGTAACCGCCGCAACCAGCCATCCGCCATGTCGGCCGGCGAGCGGCCGAAGGCGACGTCGACGCGTCGGAAGGAACGGCCGTCGGCGGTGTCGGCATCGCGCGACGGTGTACTGTACTATCGGCATTGGTTTCGCGGCGCACGGTCACCCGCGAGAAAGAAAGAAGGAGGAGAAAGAGAGACAGAGAGAGAGAGAGAGAGAGAGGAGGGAGGTCGAAAAGAGGTGATGGAAGAAGACGGGGAGAACGCATTCGCGAAAGTGCGAGCGAGAGGGAGGGAGAAGGAAAGGAAGAAAGGGAGAGAGAGAGAGAGAGAGAGAGAGAGAGACGCAGGTACGAGGGGCCACACACACGGAAAGTCCGCGGCGAGAGAGCGAGACGGAGGAGAGGGAGAGAGGGAAAAAAGAGAGAAAGAGAGAGATGGTCGAGCGCGAACTCGTGGTGTGCGCGGAGGTGCCACCAACCGGAGTAACAGCGGAGAGTCGGAGGTGGCCCGTGCCTGTGGCTACAGGTGCGTGCGCGACGCGTATATATACGCGTATACGCGTTCCGGAGTTCGTTCGCCCGTCCACGTTTTATCTCCGTTGTGAGCCGCATCCACCGGGAGCAACACGGCGCGAGGTGCTCCGCTGCTCTCTTTCTCTCTCTCTCTCTGTCTCTTTCTTTCTTCCTCGCTCCCCTCGTTCTCCTTTTTCTCGTTTTCTCTCTCTCTCCCTCCCTCTCTCTCCCTCTCTTTCCTTCTTCCTCTCGTTCTCCGTTCCTCGTTCTCTTTCCTTCTCTCCCTCTTTCTCTCTCTTTCTCGTGCACGCGAGTGTGATCGGTACAGTGCGATCAGTGCGACGTGATACGTTCTCGCTCGCGGATCGTCCTTCGCTGTGCTTCGCGCGACAGAATAGGTGCCGCGCGTACGTCATCGTGAAAAAGACTGTCAGGAGTGCCTTACTAACTTCTTTCCCTTGAGAATTACTTGTCGACGTTGTCGTACGGCAAAACGCGAACACGACGTTCACCATCTTCGTCACAGTGAGATCCCAAACGGAGCAAGAGAAAAAGAGAGAGAGAGAGAGAGAGACGGACGGATAAAGGAGAGAAAGAACGCCTCGGCGCGTTGAACGAGGTAAGAGCGTTTCCCATGTTTGTTTTGGAAAAAAAAAGCGACGGTAACATTCATTAAGGCCTGCGTTCGCCGTGTGACTCCCGACATCATAGACGTACGGAGGTTATGTTTCCCGATGACCCCTCGACTCCCACCCTTCCTCCCCGCGTCTCCTCCTCGCTCCTCTCTTCTCCTTCCCCTTCCCTCGCAGTCGCCCTCCCTTGCCTCCTCTCCTCCCGCCCTGCTTTTCCTCTTTCTCACCGTGTCCTTTTCACGCTCTACCCTTCCTCCATTCTCTGTCTCCTTCCCTCTTTTTCTTCCTCTCGCGTACTTTTTTTTTCTTCCCCTTTCTCCTTCTTTCGCATTCTTTTTCACGTTAAACGTTTGGCGCAAAGCGCGACGCGATCCAAAGTTTTCGAGAGATCCTCGGACTCGGAGTCGCAACACCTGGCAACGATTTTCATCGGCGCGGCCACTACGAGCTCTGACAGTCGGTTACGCTCCTCTTTTCTCACTCCGCGCCGTTTCGTCTTTCTCTTCCACGTGCGGAGTTTCTCGTTAGTTCACACTCGAACGTAGTGCGTATACGCGATGTACCTGTCTCGCCTCTTTTTCGCGTGGCCTATCCTCCCTCGCCGACCAGCCAGTTTCGTAACCTCTCGATACGGGTTTCAGGAACTATCAGCTGTCAGCCACCACCATAGTCTGTGCCACCTGTCCGAAACTCATGCGCGCGCGCGCGCACGCGTGCATGCGTGCTGTCTCCGTTTTTTTTGTCTGCCCTGCTCTTTCTCTTTCTCTCCCTCCCTCTCTCTCTCTCTCTCTCTCTCTCTCTCTCTCTCTCTCTCTTCCTCGCTTCTTTGCTCCTTACTGCATTATTTGTTCCCCCACCTTCTCGTCCGGCTGTCGGACGTTAAACCGCAGGATTTTATGAGTAGTTTTCTTCATCAGTCGTTTAAATCTAATAATGCGTGATTTCCCCTCGAGAAAGGTGCGCGCGCGCGATTAAAAGACGATCGGTGATCGGAGTACGGCCAAGCTCCCGAAGTAGAGAAAAGGCTTGTTGATATTTCGGCGCGCAGGCTTTCTGGCATGACAGCGCGACCGGCCTTGAGCCCCCCTTCCCCTTCCCCTTCCACGTCCACATGTCCCGCCTTCCCTCGCGCGCTCTCTTCCTCCGTGTCCCTACTACAGCCTACAGCCGCACTGCACGATACTCTATGGATCAGTGACGCTCAACTCGGGACGGCTCCTGCTCTAATCAGTTCTTCGAGCTTTTCCTTCATTTGTACTCTCTAAATTCTTTGGAGTGGAATCACATTCTAAGGAATGGAAATTGAGCCAGTTCTTGAAAAAAAAAGAAGGCTCAATTTTTAATATTTTCAAAACAAGATCTCCCCCTCTTCGAAATGACACTCTAAGATTCTCTCTAAGATTCTTAGAATTAGAAAAAGATTAATAGCAAGTTAAACCGAGATTAAAGTTAATCTTTGTGAAACCGAGCGTAAAAATTTTATAGAATATATAATATAAATTATAGTATAAAATTATATTAATTGTACAATTATATTTATATTATATAATATAAAAAAAAGTATCTTCGCGCTGTATTTTTTATACTTTTTGTGCAAGTTTGTACCTTTCTAATTTTATCCTAGTTGAAATTTTATGCTATGCGTTTATTAAGTAAATTACATTTTTACATTTATATTTGCTAATAAATGCTACATGCCACATTTCGTGGATAGAGATACACAATTATACAAAATACGTTATACAAAAAAATGATGAATGTGTATGACATAAAAATAAATAATGTATTGGAATATATTTCAGAATTGGTATATTTTATATTAAAAAAATGGATAGTAAGCGTATTTGAATTTAAATTCAAAATACCGGTGTATAAGTTTGAGTTTAGAAAAATGAGAGATGTATGTTTCACATGTATGTAGGTACATAAATCACACAACACATACGATATGATTAATTTCATACATTACAAGAAAATATTAAAAACGATCTATTATATTTCTCTGCAGAGAGACCATCTCCAAATTTACGAAGGAATTTATTAAATAAAATTTACTTTATTTATATTAGGATTGTTTACATACACACAACTTTAATTAAAGATAACGTAAGCGTTTTCATAATCCGCAGGATTTATATAGATTAAAAGAGGCTTTATCTCTTGTTAGTGGGGCACCACTGTTCCTTACGAACCGCAGGTCCCGCTCTCTCCCTTCTCTCTTCCCCTCTCTCTCTCTCTTTCTCTGTCTCTTTCTCCTCCTCGGATCCCGATCTCGATCTCGTCTCATCGCGACGCGTCTTGTTCGGAGCTCTCGAGCCCTCCTCTCCTTTCTCTCACAACGCGCGCGGACACGAAATCGCCGCCGAATCGTCGAGCGGGCGTTTCTCAAGGTAGGAGAATAAGTGACCGAGAACGCGACCCGAGAAGTCGTCAAGCCGCGGCGCGGCGGAGTTTGGCGGCGATTGAAGGAGCCACAGAAGAGAAGAGAAGAGAATGAGAAAGAGAGAGAGGGAGGAGAGACGAGGCATGGGAGTGACGGCGAGAAAAATCTTTCGCTCGCTCGCTCGCTCATTCGCTCATTCGAGTCTCGAGCGGAGAGAAAATGAAACGGGAACGTACGGACGGGACGGGCGTTAGCCCGTAGCGGTATAAGTACGGGCGTATGAAGCGCGGTGAAGCGATCGCGACAATGGTATCGCTATACCCATTTGCTGGGTATATGATCGCGGTCGCGACGAGGCGACCCGACCTGACCCGACGCGTCCCGTTGCGTCGTGTCGCGTCGCGTCGCGTCGCGTCGCGTCGCGTCGCGTCGCGTCGCGTCACCTCCTCTCGTCTCGTCTCGTCTCCAATGGCTCGAGATCGAGCGCTCCACCTTGACGGCTCCACCTACATCGCACGGAGCGCGATAGAACACTCCGCTCGCCTTTCGCTTCGTCGTATCCTGGTATACAGGGTGTTCCAGAGTTGTACGATCGTACAGATACTATATAGTATATAATAACCGAATGTATAAACGTTACTTACTTCTTCTTGGGAATCAATATTTTTGCTCCGCGAAATTACTGAGACTAGTCTGTATTCACGCATCACTTTTAAACGTGCACATTTAGCAAACTGATTGTGTGAGAACCAAATTTATTAAATCTTAAGACATATTTTGTCAATAGTACTGATTCATTTACTTACAGTATATAAATATTTACTCGTTTAAAAAAAATGATAGTTAAATCGAATAGTTTTTGTATCAAATAGATGAATATATGGTTACATTTAGTACACGAAAGAATGATTTTGTTGACGTATCAAAAAATTTAGCTACATCTGAAATTAAATTTTGTTGGACCATGAAAACAATTATGTAGTCATCTCAAGCATGACGAGGACACTGCGAAGTGTTTTGACATTCTAGCAACCTGTTTGATTGTCCTACATGATTATTTTAATAGCTCAACAAATTATTTTTAGGTCTGTATCTCGCTAAATTTTTAGACATTTTTACCAAAATCGTTCCATGTAAATATCTAATACTTAATACTTCAAATAAATATTTATTAAAATTCCATTACAATTTATTAAAATGAAAATATATTTCTTTCAGAGCACATATAATTTACGTTATATACTGCAGTACTGTAGAATCTTAGAAATAAATAAATGCATTGATTGATAAAAATGAAATACGAATATCTTATATCTTATGTTTATCCGATGACGTACCGTAATAACGATAAAATTTCAAGAAACGATTATTGTTGCTGTCACAACAGACGATTATCGACTTACTAATCTTCATGCAATTTGCTCGATCAGTTTTTTTTAACCTCGTTTATTCGTGACAAGTCTATTTATGTTGGTAAATTATCGTATCGTATATTGCAAAGCTTGCAAAGTGCGACAGGATGGATCGCGCCAACGTCCTTCGGCGGGAAAAGAACGCGCGGCTGATTAGATTAAACGTTGCAACGTGCGTCTTGCGTCTAGAGCGTCTATTACGTATACGCGTCGGATTTGCGCGGCTCTCGGCGTTTCGGCGCACCGGTGCGAGTGAAACGGCGAAAGTCCGCGCGTTGCACCTTCGTTTGACCGCTGTTTTTTCCGTGCCGCCGGAATGATACGAAAGGTCACGGAACGCTTAGAAGAACTTTCTCTGCGTTTGGTGGTCGTTAGACTCGCGTGCCAAGTAAAACTATATTTACCTCGCCGACACGCCGTTGCAGCGCGTTCTCTCCTTTTCCGAACTACGATTTGCGCGAAGAATCGATTCGATTCGCGCAGGTAAAATGTTTCACAACGAGATGCGATTTCGCGATATGCGGGGTGTTGTTTTACTTTTTTTAAGGATCTACAGGAAAGTCTAAACGTGTATTTCT